TTTTCTTTTTTTTTTTTTTTTTTAACTGGCACTTCTCCTCCCCGCACAGCGCCCAAGGATGCACACCCAGCAGCACCGACGCTCCGGGATTTCTCCAAGAATTCCCTCGCCGGGGCCGCCCCTCCGTGCCCCTCGTGCCCCCCGGGGCCTCCCCGCGCTCCCACCGCCTCAATGGGGGGAACCCCCGCGGGCACCGCGCCCCTGACCCGCCCACCCCTCACACCCCCGGCCGCTCCCACACGGCCCCCCCCGGCCCCAGCGCGCTCCCCCCGGGGACCGCAGCGCTGCCCGTGAGGAGGACGGGATGGCCGGGCCCCCGCCTCTTCCCCCTCCTCCTCCTCCACCTCCTCCTCCTCCTCCTGCTGCTGCTGCTGCTCGCAGCGGAGGCGCCCGGCCCGCTGCCCCCCGCGCCGCCCCGCGGGGCCCCCCGCGCTTACCGAGGCGCGGCGCAGGGGCGGCCCGGGCGGCGGGTGCCGGCGGGTCCCGGCGGGGCTGGGCGGGCGCGGCGATCTCACCTCACCCTCAGCGCCGCCGCCGCCGCCATCTTGCCTCCCCTCCCCCGGCCCCGCGCGCTCCGCCCCCTCCCGCCGGGTCCTGGCAGGTACCAAACAAACCGCCGCTCCGCCGCCCGGTGCCTTTAGCCGGACGCGGGGGGGTCCCCCTCTTCCTCTCGCCACGCCGGTTGTGGCGGTGCACAGGAAGCGACAGGCTGAGAAAAGTCACCACGGAGCGCGCTGGTGAGAGGATGGGGTGCTATGCCCCTTCCAGGACCGCGGGCCGGTGCGGCGGGGCGGGGCTGCCCCCCCGCTCTGAGGGGCCGGGGGGGGGGCGCGGCCGCCATGAGGCGAGCGGGGCCCGGCCCGTGAGGGGCTGCACGGACCGGCTGCGGGGCGGGAGCCGCAGCGCCCCGTTTTGCCCCGGTATAAATCGATAACGGGCCTCGTGCCCCTGAATGTGCCCTCAGGAACCCGTCCCGGGCCCGGAGAATCGCTCGGTCCCGCCACAGCCTCCCGCGCTATGCCTGAGGTCGCGCCCCTGCTCTGGCGACGAATGACTTCCCAAACATGTGAGAGAGGTTTAAATCTCATTTAATGTCCGTTTATTCCTACCCCAGAATGAAGAGTGTGTAACTCGTTCCCTGCAGCCTTAGTAAAGAGTTTCTGCACTGTGTCCTACCTGCAAATGTGTATCTCAGGATGTGCTAAAATCACCAAAAAAACCCTCTAATCAGGTTTACCATGGGGAAAACCCATACCATTAGGCAAGATTAAATTTACACTTTGTCACAATTTCCATTAAACATGAGAAGCAGGATGGGTGCCCATACAATTATTTATGAGACTCATGAAGCAGGGGCTCAGCCTGTGGCAAAGGGGATCCCTCAGAAAACACGTGTTGCACTAAGGACTGAGTTATCACAGTGGTTAAAGTGCCACGTTAAGGTGACACGGCCCATTTCCAGGCTGATGTTTGCAATCTCCAATCCCAGCACAAGCCAGTGACTCTGTTCACTTGGAAGTTATAGGTGCCCAAATAAGAGTGAGTGAAGACCAGTCAGACACACACCTGGTGAGGGCTGAGCTGCTCCTCAGACACTGAACTCTGAATTATTTTCACCATTTATGCTTTAACCCACCCAGCTCCCACACTCCACCACTGCTCCGCACACTTGTCTTCCATGTTGCCTGTTTGCCTGGAAAAGCAAAGTTTCCAATTGCATCCGATTGCCCTTTTCATGTTTATTTTAACACTTCCTGTCTCCTCCTGCTCTGCAGCCTTCTCCAGCGCTTGCCTTCACTTCTAAGCCATATCCGAACGTTTCCCCGGCGGGACAGCCCACAGACCTGCAGATTGCACGACGAGCCTGAAGATATATTCCTCCTGCCCCGCTTTTGAGCTTTCCCTTAACCCGCAGCTCTTCCACAGCAGCGATAAAAGGTACTACAGCTGAAAAGCCCAACTTTAGTCACCATTAGTCACCCTGGACGTACCAGCAGGGTCAGGGCAGTGACCCCTTTCCCCGCCGACCTCCCCATGGGAACAGCCCCCGTTCACCGCCCCGCCTGGGACCGGGCCAGGGCAGGTCCTGCTCCTGCTCTTGCTCCTGCCTGGCCGCCCTGGAGCGGCACAGCTGGGATCCACTTCCCCTGGAGCGGCAGTGCCGGGGTCGGTTTCCTGGGAAGCCCGGGAAGCACAGCCGAGGCCGGTTTCCCGGGAAACGCGGGAGCGGCACAGCCGGGACTCGTTTTCCCGGGAGCGGTGGAGCCGGGCCCGTTTCTCGGACAGCCCTGGAGCCGCACGGCTGGAATACACGTTCCCCGAGCAGCCCTGGAGCAGCAAAGCGCCGTTTCCGCGGCCGAGCGGCCCCGCCCCGGGGCGGGACCGGAGGGGAGGGCTCGGGGTGGGGAGGTGAGGGGAAGGAGGGGACCTTCCGTGGCCGGAACCTCGGTGCCGCGGCCGCCGTTTCCCTCCGGCTCTGCGGCGCGGCGGGCCGGTCGCCATGGCAGCGGCGGCGCTGCTGGCGGTGCTGGCGGTGCCGCTCCCGCTCCTGCTGCTCCTCCTCGGGGCCGCGCGCCGCCTGCGCCGGGCGCGCTCCCGACCGGGGGAGCCCCGCGCGGCCCCGCGGGGCGGGCGCGCGCTCGTGGTGACGGCGCACCCCGATGACGAGTCGATGTTCTTCGCCCCCGCCCTGCTCGGCCTGCGCAGGGCCGGGGCCGCCCCCGCCGTGCTCTGCTGCTCCGCAGGTGAGCGGGGACACACACACACACCCGGCACGGGGAGCCCGCAGGGATGGCCCCACTCCGCTCCCACTGTGTGCGGTATCGCGGCGTGGAAGGACCTACACACACACACACACCCACCGGCTGTGGGGAAACTGAGGCGCGGAGCGGCCATGCCCGCCCTGCCCCCGCCCCTTTACTTTCCAAGAGCATGTGGTGACAGGACAAGGGGCAGTGGGTTCAAATCGAATGATTTAGATCAGATATTAGGAAAAAATTCTTCCCTGTAAGAGTGGTGAGGTACTGGAAGTTGTGGCTGCCCCATCCGTGGAAGTGTCCAAGGCCAGGTTGAACGGGGCTTGGAGCAACCTAGGATATAGGAAGGTGTCCCTGCCCGTGGCAGGAGGTGGAACTGGGTGATCTCCAAGGTCCCTTCCAACCCAAACCATTCTATGATTCTTCGCCCATTCCTCTTTCATCCTTCCTTCCTCCATCCATGATCATTACTCAAGGACAAGAGGGCACAGTCTTAATCTGTGCCAGGGAAGATTCAGGTTGGTCATTAGAAAGAATTTCTTCACAGTCAGAGTAATTGGATATTGGAATGGGCTGCCCAGGGAGCTGGTGGAGTCACCATCCCTGGAGGTGTTTAAGGAAGGACAGGACATGGCACTGAGTGCTCTGGGCTGGGGGACAAGGTGGTGATTGGCCAAAAGTTGGACTTGATCTCATAGATCTTTTCCAACGTGATGGATTCTGTGGCTCTGTGAATGGCCTGAGGCTGTGCCAGGGGAGGTGTAGGCTGGATGTTAGGAAAAGGTTCTTCCCTCAGAGGGTTGGTCAGGCATTGTGACTTTCTGCATGACCATGGCATGGGGTTGGAACGAGATGGCCTTCGAGCTCCCTTCCAACCCAAACCATTCCGTGATTCCATGACTGGTTTCAGCAGTAGCAAAATCCCCCTCAATATCTACCCAGAGGTTTCACAGTCCATCCCCTGTGGCAGAGCTGAGGCACTTTCAAACCATGTGGAAGTATCAGGGGGCTGTAAAAGGTGCTGTCTGGCACAGCCTTTTGGCACCTCCTTGTAATTCTGTCATCTCGCAGGGGACCTACTTGGATGATCCAGGTTTAATATCACGATACATTCCCTGTAACTCACCTAAAAATAGCCTTGGCATAACAATCCCCCCGTGGAACAATGGGCCGGAAGGGAATGGGGCCGCGTTGTCCCTCAGGTGACCTGGAGGCAGCCCCGACTGTGCTGCACACAAACCTTTGTTCCCCAGGACGCCTGGGGGAGGTGCCTCAGCCTGTGGGGTCTCTGTCTGAGCTGCATCAGCTTCCCTTCAAATCGCTTTTTCCTGAGTCACTGGTGTAATTTAAGCTTGTTTGTTTATTTTTTTCCTGTCTGCCAGGAACATGGAAATAGCAGTGTCCCTTTGTAGCAGCCTCTTACATATTTTAAGACTGTTATCTGCTCTTTCTGCCTTATCTTCTCCAGACTAAACAACCTGATTTCTTGCAATCTTTCCTCACAGATCATGTTTTCTAAACCTCTGATCATTCTCCTTTGGACTCTTCCAGTTGGTTCACATCTTTCTTTTGAGGGGCAGTGATCAAAAACTGGAAGCAGCACTCCTGCTGAGGCCTTGCTGGGGATGAACAGAGTGGAAAGATTTTTACAGGCTCCACTGTCTTCCCAGGACAAGAATTTTTCACACTTTTCTGCCCTTCTTGTGATCTACTAAAGCTCCAGATTTTTATTCTGCAGAACTGACATCTAATCAGTTATTTCATTGTTTAGGTTTTTGTGCAAAAGACACAATCCCATTTGCACTGAGCTTTGAGACCTTATTTCTGTACCAGAATTCGTGAGTGAAAACATTTTTGGTGTTTGTTCCGAGGAGTATCTTGGGCCACAAACACATCTCCCACTGAAAACACCCCCCTGTGCCTTTGGAAGCTCCAGCTACTTCACTTCCAACTTCTCTGTTGCCTCCAAAGCTTTCTGTCATGACAGACCGTGTAGGTGAGAAGACAGGGATTGAGCTGCTGTTGAACCCGGTGCTGATCCCTCTGCACCTCCCCTTGCAGGTTTGCTGCAGAGCTCTCCATTGTTTCTCCTGAGGGACAAAGGTCTGTGGGTCCCCTTTGGCTTTTCCACAGCTGTGGGAAAGTTACTGAAGTGCAGCTCTGCTATTTCGGTTTTGGGCACTCAGACACTGCTGCTGTTGGAGAACTCCCCGAAGAAGTGTCGTGTTCCTGCGTGTTTTGTTGGATTTTCACTTTTCTTTACTCCTGGTTCAGTGACATGAAGCATGAATTGTTTCTCATTTCCTTCCATCGACTGTGTCTTTGTAAGGGAATGAGCAGCCCATGTAGGAGAGCACCTTCATGAACTAATAGATTTTTCTTTAAAAAGCCTCTTATTAGTCTTTTGGGTGATTCAGATGGTTCATCCTCTCATTGTTTGTGTGATTGATGATGACAAGTGAGTTGATCAAAGACTCTGCAAGTTGTAACACGGAGACAAAATCGTTACTTAAAAACCATTGTACTTGCAGTTTTCAGATATCAATCAAAATGACTTAGAAATGAATTAGAATTACAGCACTTTGAAAAAAAAGATCAGTCTTTACACACTGAATAACCTTAGATTAAATTAATAAGTCAGTATAAATGTGCCTTGCTCTCTGTAGTAGCTGACTCTCTGTTGGGAGTGCTCCATGGATGAGGTCCAGCAGCATCAGCTATTCAGCTGGTTTTGCTCTCAGTAGCTTCCCATCTTTTCTTGTTATAGCATTTCTATATTCCTGATGTCCTGACACATCTCTCAAGCTGTGGATCTGTTCCTCTGAGTTCAGGAGAAGTCAGGTGTTTTGACAGCAGTGGTACTGTTTGGATAAAACGTCACCTGCAGTCAGTTATTCCACTGCATTGCAGCAAAAGCTGTACCTTAAAACACTCCTGTTGTTAGTGGCCTGGTACAACACCAGCCTGAAGTAAATCCTGCTGTACTCATCCCATCCTGCTCGTGAAGGTGCACTTCAATTCATCCTGGAGGCTGCAATTTGCCATCCCAGGTTCCCAGAGCTGAGCTCACGTGTTCCTCAGCAAACCCACAGACATCAGTCAGTCTCCAAAGCCATTCACTCACAGGCTGCAGGAAGAGGCTTTTTTTTTTTTTTTTTTTTTTTCTAGTTACTCTTTCCCTCTTTGAAAATTTTACAAAGCTTGCTAGTGATGGCTCGGATTGCAGCCCCGCTCCAGAGAAATGCTCGATTTAGATGACTCACACCCACAACAATAAAAAGTTCTCGTGTAATTCAAGACAGCTGACTACAGACTTGAATCACACATTAATACTCAACTGCCTTTTTTTTTTTTTTTTCCCTTTTTCATTTTATTGCTTCAAAGTTAAAATTGGTTTGCAAGTACTGCCCTGCATAGAGCAACATTCTGGAAGGGGCATAAGAGCTCTGGCATGGACTTTGCATGGCTGATGCTAAGAAAAAATAAGGGAATGTCAGGGCAGAAGGAAATAACTCAGTGAAGAAGGAGGCAATGTTTTAATATAATGAATCCCATTTCCCTGCTAGCAGTTGGTCTCTGTTACAACTTTTCCCAACTGTCTTATCTCAGTCAGGTTTCCCTGGGGTTTGTCCCCTGCCACGTGTCTGTTTTTGAGCTGAGGCCCCTTCATTTAATCTGTGATCGTCACCTTTGATGCTTTGAGAAAGAAGAGAGGAATTCTTTCCAAGCAAACCTGAACTGAGAAGGTGCTGCTGTCTTTGCTGTTTTCAGGAAATTATTACAATCAAGGAGAGATCCGTAAGAAGGAGCTGGAGCAGAGCTGTCGTGTCCTGGGGATTCCTGAGTCCGACGTCACAGTCGTTGATCACAGGTAACTGGTTTCCATTTCCAGCCTAAAGAGGGATGAAGTTCACTTTAACACTCAGGAAAGCTGACTGTGTCATTCTAAGAAGCCTTGAGGAATCTCAAGAAAGACCATATTAGATATTTCGGTAATTCTTCACATTAATTAATGCAAAAGCCAATTCAAGTGTGTAATGGGGATCGTAATTCCTAAGTTAAGCTCTGTTCATCCAGCATCTACAATAATAAAAACCACACTTGGGGTCTGGCATGGTGTGTTTGGGCAGCATGATCACATTTTGTTGTATAACAACTTGTTGCAGTGTTGTACAGACAGTTACAAATTCCCTGAATTGCCTGTGGCAGGTTTGTCTGTAGGCTGTTCTTTGCAGGGTTACTGTGGAATCTCTTATATTTATAATCTGCCTAAGTCCTGGCTAAAGACAGAAGTGAATTGCAGTACTAAGGACAGTCCACACTAAACAGGACAGTAAGATTCTTCGAAACTAAACCATGCAAGATTTCTGTTTTTCTAAGATGTGGTGTTTTCTCCTCGAGTTGTGTGTAGCTACAGAGGTAGGTGACAAAGCTGACACTTCTTTGTTCGGGAACTCTCTTCTGGGAAGGTGATTTAACACTTTGAATCAGTGAAACTTGGAACTAGTGTTATAAAGTCTTCAATTGCCTTGTCTGTCTGTAGGAGCTGAACTGGATACTGATTGCTAGGAAGCACGATA